GAAGATGATTGAGGAGCAGATCTCCTCTCTGTCAGACAGCATCTCTGCTGTTGAAGAAGACCTGCAGAAAGACAAGGTGTCGTTCCTCAGCAGTTATAAAGCCACTCAGACCAGAGCCAGAGTCCAGAGCTCACTGACAGATCCACAGCTGGTCTCAGGAGCGCTGATAGATGTGGCCAAACACCTGGGCAACCTGTCCTTCAGAGTCTGGGAGAAGATGAAGGACCAGGTCCACTTCAGTCCTGTCATTCTGGACCCAAACACTGCAAACTACTTTCTCTCTCTGTCTGATGATCTGACCAGTGTGAGATATGGAATCATAAACCAGCAGCTTCCTGATAATTCAGAGAGATTCACTAAGTATGCAGATGTTCTGGGCTCTGAGGGCTTCAGCTCAGGGAAACACAGCTGGGAGGTGGAGGTGGGAGACCATCCTCTATGGTTTGTAGGTTTGGTTAAAGAGTCAGTTGACAGAAAGGGAGAGACAGGTGCTTCAACAGGTGATGGATTCTGGTGTTTAGCTCTTCACAATGAGATATACACTAATGGAGTTGGTCGGCCTCTCCGAGTGAAGAAGAGTCTCCAGAGGATCAGAGTCCAGCTGGACTACGACAGGGGGGACGTGTCCTTTTACGACCCTGAAGACACGACTCACATCTACACTTATAGAGATACTTTCACTGAGAAACTCTTCCCATATTTCAATATTGGAGAGTCTGGTGATGCTGAAACTGCTGATATCACAATCTGTCTGAAAAACTGATATTTCTCTGTAATGTTCAGTGAAGGTGGTGAGATCAAATTCAATGATTCATCAGGAAGTTTATTATAGTTTTTTGTTATTCTATTCTGTAGATATTTTCAAAGAATTAAAGAATGAGAAACTCTAAATAGTATTTGTGGTGTAAACATCTAGAGTAGATTTACTGGGATCATTTTATTTTGAAATGTATAGCTACTTTTTTTCTAAAGAACAACAATGTTAAGTTTGCATTAAAAGGCTTTTGTTTTAAGTTACGTCATCACATAAAGCCTCATCTTACCTTATTTATCTTTAACATGAAACAAGTTCTTCATTGTGTTTCATAGTAAACTGTTTTGTGAATAAATGGTTCGGTTCCTTCAGGTATTTTATTTGCAGTTTAAAGTGTTTATTGATGATGATGCAGAATAATGTTAAATTATTTATCTTTCCGAACAAATATTAAACACATCCATATACACATTTAATGTAGAGAGATCATTTTAGTTTTAATGTTTAGTCCAACAGGTTGGAGACAAAGAACACATTTTGGTTGCAGACTGTTTTCATCACAATCTGACCTCTGTTCAGTGTCTGGTAGAAAACGTCAGTATTTCTGATCCTACAGAACATTTCTATCCATCTCTCAGGGTTCAATCTAGGAGACAATCACAAGTGATTCCGCCTCTGGAGAAGATGCTTTATTTAGCAATTGTTTATCTATTTATCTCTGAAATAATGATTATAATGAGGAATATCAAAGCTGCAATGATCTGGTCATCATATATTTGTAGCGCT